TTTGACTACCATCATTATTCGACTATCATCATTGAATCACAGTTACTTAATACTTAGCAGTCATTGCCTGACTATTGTCACCAGCCCATCATTATTTGACCACTGCCATATGATAATCATAGTTCATTCACCATTATCTAATCTCTATGGTTAGAATATTATCGTTCCACCATTGTCTGATCATCATTATTTGAATACTTTCATTCGAATAGTGTTTCCAAAGTGATATTACTTGATTACCATCATCATCGCCTCTCTATTTCTCACATAACATCTACTATAACTAAAGCAAAAAAAAAAAATAAAAAAAAATACAAACTTCTAAAGTATATTGAGTTATTTGAATTGGGTCTACATTAATATTATATAATATATATTAGTTTGTGGCAAAGGATTTAAAAAATATTAAAATAAAAATTAAATTATTAGTCATTATATATATATCCTCTGAAGAAAATTCAAGACTACGTGGATGGATAAGTTCATCCCCGTTTGAGACCGACAACACCACTCGACTATACGAAGCGCAACATTTTTTATCCCCCTCAACTCGGTGAAAGGGCAACTGATCTCTCTACACAGCAAGAAAAATGGACGTTGCAGAAGCTCAAAAGGAAATATTAGGTAGCTGTTTCTTCGGGCCACTGAACGATCCCATCTAAGTCTATTCAATTTTAGCTCCAATTAATTTTATTTAATCTTCATGTTAAGTGATCTTGTTTAAGATTTCGTTTGGGATAGCTTCTGATCATAATTTTTTTTACTATTATTTTTTAAAAAATTTGTATTAAAATAAGCTGCTTTAAAAAACAGTAAAAAAATATTCTAGATGAAGCTAGTTGTCAACTTATTTAAAGATTTAATTTTATTCATTTATTTTATTGATTGAAATTAATTAATATGTATTCAAAGCATTGCTAGCAACCTGTTTATTTAGCTATGTTGGATTCATGATAATTGTTGCGTGTTAGAATATTCACGGTGGTTGTGAAGTGAGGAGCTTAACGTCTTAGCTTGTACGATGATTCAACATACAAAAAGATAAGAGAGAGAGATGCAATAATCATTAGAGACACTAGAATTTTACATGGAAAACCCCAAAATAGGAAAAAGTCATGGAGTCTTATCCAATTGAAATAATATCACTAGTGTTGATTGTTGATTACAAATGATGCTCTTCAATGGGAGAATATGTTGACTCAATGTAGCAAATATACACTATATATATAGAGCATATTATATAATTATAGCTGGGAGAATTCAATGACATGAGAGTTTTTCTCAAGAGAGTGTTAGCTTGTTCATCTGATTGGCAGGATAGAGGTCAAAGGGATCGTGGCCGACGAGCTGTGAAAGTTAAATGAATCGTAGCCATCGACGGAGGTCAAAAGGATAATGATCAACAACGGGGGTCAAAAGGACCGTGGTCGGTGAAGGAGCTTAAAAGGATCATAAGTAGTCAGGTGACGGTGGTTGGAGGGACCATAATTAGCAAACAACGAAGGTTGGAAGGGCCATAGTTGGACAATAGTGGTCGTAGGGACCGTAGTTAGTGACTGATGGTGGTTGGAAGGACCATAGTCGGGGGACAGTGGTCAAAGAGACCATAATAGGGCAATGGTGGTAGGAGGCACCCTATATAGTCAGAAAACGTTGGTCGGGAGGGACTATAGTTGGGAAATAGTGGTCGAAGGGACCTTAGTCGGATGGCAATAGAATTTAAAAGGACTGTAGTTAGGTGATTGTGGTTGAAGGGAAAATAGTCACCAGGCGATGGTGGTCAAAGTGATCGTAGTAAGGTGACCGTGGTCAGAGAGATCATAGTTGGCGGGCGATGGAGATTGAAAGAACAGTAGTTATGTGATGGTAGTCATAGGGACTGTAGTCGGCAGACGTTAGTGGTAAAAAAGATGGTATTCTAACGATAATGGTAAGAGGGATTATAGTCATATAGTGATGGTGGTCGGTGGTTGAAAGGACCATAATTAGGTGACAGTCGTCAGAGGGACTGTAGTTGAAGGGTGATGAAGGTCGAAAGGAACATAGTCGGCGATAGTGGTCGGAGGAACTATAAAGAATTGGTGACTGAGGTTGGAATGATCGTAGTCAGGAGGCATTGGTCAGAGAGACCTTAGTTAGCAAGTGATAGTGGTTGGGCGGAGAGCCGAGGATGGTGGCCAAACATAGGTCTGATGATGGTGGTCAGGCGAAGGTCTATTGTGGTGGCTGGGCATTGATGGTTAGCTGACGGTGGTGCCGGGGTGGAGCTCCAAGATTCTTCAAGTTTCAAAACTCTTTTGAATCAATAGCCCATAGTCCAAGCCTCCTCATTCATATTGTGAGTGGTGGCATATTTATAGATTTTGAGAGTGGTATGATTCATAAATATGAAGAAGATCAAGGGCATATTCCAGGTGCTCCATCGAACAACCCATATTGATTCCCACCATCATGGAGCACTCATCAAATATTTAAGTGCCTTAATGATGTTAGAATTAAGCATATATTCTTGAGCTCGTTGGATTCATCTCATCAAGCCACTCAATTTGACTAAATGCATGACATATTTTGATATCATTTGTTCATTCAGATAATGCTTTATAGCTTTTAAATATACTTTAAGCCCATGATTTGGGCTCAGATTGGACCGATTTTCATGTCGTTGGGTTTGTCTCATACATTGAGACGTTCAGTTTGACTATGAGTTTGTTGAAATTAGAGTTCAAATGATTCATGAATTAATTTTGAAAGTTTTCAATTCAGATATGCATCAAGATTCGTGCCCAATCAAGACAATTTTTTGTGAAGTACCAATAATATATAATGGTGGTTTATTCTCATGAGTAAAACAATTATTATTGTTTTAATCTTGTATCTCATAGAATAAATTTTGCATCCATTTGATGTGGTTTGCATCAATATGAGTTTTAATTATGTTAAAAAAATGAGAGATTTAATTATCCTTAAAATGTAAATAGAAGGACAATGATAATAAAAAAAAATAATAAAAAAGGACAATGACAAATTCTATCAAAATATTTCAATCTTAGAATTGTGTCATATTACTTAATTTTGGTGTTGTGGGTTTGATAAGTCATCAAAAATCATCTTTATTCAGAGATATATTTGAATTGGAAACATTCAAAATTAAATACAGGAGCATTAGAACTTCAATCTTAGCAACGTAGTTGAAAACTATAGGATATGAGTTGGAACATATGGTCTTTAAATTTGGATGGCTTATACTAAAATCGAGTGGCTCGATAAAACGAATAAAATGAGACTATCATATCTTAATTCTGACAATATTCAAGCAGTTAAATGCTAAATAAATGATTTACGATAGAGAAAATTATTATATGACATCTTATGGAGTTCTTTGAATTTTATCTATTTAACTGTCATGTCATTCTAAAAAATTTATAAATAGGCCATTACTCTCTACATGATGGGGTCCCTTGGTTAAGGGCTTGAAGAATCCAAATGCTCAACCTGAGTATGATCATCACAAGTAATCGGCTGACATTTATCATTGGACCTTCCCTACCCAACTGCCATTGTTAAACCATTAACCAACCAATCGTCATTGTTGAACCTCCACCATCAAACAATTTGTCGCCTAATTACCAGCATAAAAATTTTTACTACCTTACCACCTCCGTTAGACCTTCATCGCCCAACCACAATCATTTTACCTTTCACTGCTTGAGCGTACCTTTGGCCTATCACTGTCGCATGATCAATGCGTCGAACCTTTTGTAACTCAAGTACCCCAATATTCCAAATGGACTTTGCCATATTTTATATAAATTCTTCAAATTCTTGTAATTATGCTATCTACAAGTTAAGGAATTGGTCAATATTTGTAATATGGGAATCATCTTAGTTGAGAAAGACCACCTAGTTTTTTCCCTATTAAGTTTTCCACCAAAAAAAAAAACTCTATTTTATCCGAGCTCTTTAATTTATTTGTCTATGAGTTGGATTTTCGTGGAAAGTTAGTATGCAAAATTCACACATTGTACCACTGTACTTTTTTTAGCCTGCAACATTGTTCATCTTATCAAGATGTTTATTTAACTATGTTAATATCAACTTTTCTATCGTTGGATTCATTTTATCATGACGTGCAATTCATTTATAAGGTTATTAAAATTGAATGTTGGATAGTCATGGATTTATTTTTTGAAGTATACATCTAATGCATATAGATTCATGTCCATCAAATGAATTTTTTTTTTTTTTTGGAGATTTGTCAAAGTTAAATAAGAATTTTGAGGCTATATGCTTTAAACAAACATAACTAAGTTATTTGGTTAGCTAAAAAAAGACAAATTAACATAAACTGATATGATAACTATGTTAATAAGTCTCCAAATGATTGTAACAGTAAAAATAAGCCCTATGAATAGTTGAACTAAGGATTCAATTATTCTAATTAATAATTGGCACAATAAACAAGAAGCAATAATTTAAATACTGTAAAAACCAATGACTAATTTTTCATCAAAAATAGTTTAGGTTAACTAATTAAAACTTGTAAATATATAGATTAATAAATAATTTAATTAGTTAAATTAATTTGTAATTAACTACTAATTATTTATATATAAAGTTTTTTTAATCAAACAGCCATAAGATTATAATGAACTCTATATTAAATAAAATAGATTAATTATGAGAAAGAGAAGATAAAGATAGGAAATCCCAGAAACGTAAAACGGGCCCCGCTACGGCCCCACCTCATGGGACCACCATCGAATTAGGAATTGAAGTCGCCGCGGCGGGAAGCGATAGCCAGCACAAATGATCCCAGTCGACGACTACGACCCGCGCAATAACGACCCATGGGGCCCGCTCGAAATCCATCCTCCATTCTCCTCAGCCAATAGAATCGCACAAAAACCGATACCCGTTCCACCCCCAGCCAATCCTGCCACACTGGACCCCACCCAGTCCTCTAACGTCCCAAGCCCACACTCCCTCCCCTCCCCTGTTTTTCATTAATCCCCTTTCAGCGAACCACGCAGCTATGGACGAACGCGACCGAAAGCATCGATCGGCCGCAAACGCCGTAGGCGGAAGCACCGCGCGCGCCTGCGACGGTTGCCTCCGCCGAAGAGCGCGTTGGTACTGCGGCGCCGACGACGCTTTCCTCTGCCAAGCTTGTGACTCCTCCGTCCACTCCGCCAATTCCCTCGCCCGCCGCCATCAGCGCCTTCGCCTCCACACCGCTTCCTTCTCCTCTTCCCCTTCCCCTTCTCCCTCACCTACGCCTCCCCCAATCTCATGGCGAAAACGCAAGGCCCGTACTCCGCGGGGGCACCACCAGCCCAAGTCCGTCAAGCCGGAGCCCCTCGTACCTGACCTCGAGAAAGAAGATGAAGAGCTCGAGATGCAGCTTATGTGCTGCGTCCCGGTGCTCGACCCTCTCTTCAACGATTTCTCTTCAGCCAGTTTAGAAGCCAAGCCGATTTCGGGCTACGGACTGGATGCGGGGCCCGGCGGCCCGTCTATTGAGATCGATATGGAGAATCTGGATGTAGAGTGTCTTCTTGGCGTTGGGCTTGATGATGTCCACGAAAGTTCTCTCTATATAGACGGATTTACTGCTGTGGATGAAGAGGATTTGAGTCGGATCAAGATGGAGTTTGAGTATGACGCCATGGGAGATGAGATGGAGCTGTGTCACGAAGCGCAGGGAGTCGTCGTTGCTGTGGAGGAGCGGAAGGAGAGAGAACTATGTGAAGGGGTTGTGAAGAAGATGGGTTTGAGGTTGGACTATGATGCGGTCATCGACGCTTGGTCGCGAAGTGGATGCAGCTCGCCGTGGTCCGGTGGTGACCGGCCGCAGCTCGATTCGGATGGTTACTTGCCTTCTCTAACGGTAAAATATCGTGATCATATAAATTTTAAAGTCATCAGATTTGTTTATAGATTAGTAAACTCTATTCGAAGAATTAATACTATGCAAATCTAAAAATAAATAGAAGGATTTTAAAAATGGATTAAAGAAAAAACAAAATATACTTATGGTATTGAATTTGTTCATAATAACATTTAATGATGATGATTATTATTTTTTCTTCATGTAGGGTTTGTCACAAGCTGGTGGAGCTAGTTGGAGCAGAGGGAGGTGGGCAGCTAGCGGGGGAGAGGAAAGAGAAGCGAGAGTGACGAGATACAGAGAGAAGAGAAGGACGAGGCTGTTCTCCAAGAAGATACGCTACGAGGTGAGGAAGCTGAACGCCGAGAAGCGGCCGAGGATGAAGGGCCGCTTCGTCAAGCGCACCACCTTGTCGGCCGGCGGTCCAGGCCAAGCCCCCTACGGCCAGTATTAGTTGACGACGACGATGACGCGTACTGGAAATGGCAGGGAAGCTCATAAATTAGATAGTTTTAGTATATATTCAGAAATAAAGAAAGGCGCGCAGCGATCGATCAACCGCTGCTTTTCTGTGTTAATTAATTAACTTGGTACGTAGTTCTTTCTTCTTCTTTTTTCTTGATTTTTGAATATGAAGAGAGAGAGACGCTGCTACTGGTTCTCTTGTGTACATTAATCTCTTGCTTCTGATCAGTCTTCCGCTGATAGAAGGCGCTAGCTAGCTCTACTGATCACTGTATTTAAGCTTTATATAATTATATCAGATTTCAAATGCTCAATCTTTGTTCTTTTTTATGCGGGGACTCAACTCTATTGCATTAATATTGGTGCTTCTTTGATATATTTTGAAAGAAAATTATTGTAAGAATTTTAACGAATTTTGTATCAGAGTGAACTTCAAAAAGCTGCATTTGCGTTGAGATTGTTCTTAGATATCATAAATCATAGCACTGATTTTAATGTAAATTCAAGTAATTCAGAGTTCATATTGACGTAAAACAAATCGATCGGAATATTCCTATGAAATGTTTTGCTTTATTGTGAAAGGATTCGTTATATGATACGTATGGACAAGCTGCTTGTTCTTTTCATTAATCTTTTGTTGATTCTGATGTTCTTGTCTGAGTAATTTTTTAAAAAGATAATAAAATATCTGAAAGGATGTGATGAATATTACTGTTTTATACGAGCATTTTTTTTTTCTTTTGGCTTTTTATGGTGCTATCAAATCAAATTCTAACAAGCTTAGTCATGTATGGGAGAAGAAGATGATAAACGAAGATTAGGGAAGTGAGAAAAGAAGATGATGAGAAGAGAGAGAGAGAGAGAGAGAGAGAGAGAGAGAGAGAGAGAGAGAGAGAGTAAAGAAACCAAAATTTACAGTGGGGCAGGTTAGTCAATATTTCATAACTTTAAATTCCATTATATTAAATTAATTACTAAAAGAAAAGTTATATATCCTATGTATCTAAATGATTAGTAATAACATGATAAGATCAAAGCATAATTCAAATTCAAATAAAAAATTTATTCGAACTATAAGAATAATTTAACAAAAGAATAGTTTATCATAATTTTAAGATTTTGTTGAAAATAAAATTAATTTATGGTATGCTTGAGAAAGTTTTCTAGCTGCTTTATTTTTCAAGCAGGCAGCCATCACAATTCTTTTAGCTACTGATTTTTTACTACTTTTCTAAAAATTTTGTGGCAAAAAAATTATTTTTTGCAAGAAGAATAATTAGAAATTTTTCTCTTGGTAACTTTATGAGTAACTTTATAAAACATCATACTTATTTCATATAGACTCTTAATTATGTTATTTCAATATATTTCATATTAAAAAAAATCTACTCTAAAGATGGAGATTTGGAATGATAATACTAGCTCAGAAATTAAAGGGTTTTAATATTAGGCAACGTCGACTGTGAGGAAGAGAGATCGATCAATAGGAAATTAAAGAGATGGATGATTTTTTTTTTAGGAAAAGATAAAAAGGAGAAACTTCTCAAAAGAAAAAAAAGAATAATGGTATAAGGTATTTCTTTATAATATTAACAAAATTCTAAGAAAAATATATCTAAAAAATTTTCATTCTTTTCCTAAAATGGTTCAAATTTGAGTCAAATACGGAGCATCAATGATACAAATTTTATGAATGACTAAAGACTAGATGGATGAGAGTGATATAAACCTAATAAAAAATCAATTGGAAATAGTGAAATAAAACTAAATACGTGATGATCAGATAAATTTTAGTTTGCTTATAATTGATGTTTCTTTTTTTGCTAAAACTCATTTATGGATGCAAATTTTATTATAGCAGGAAAATAGTTACAAGATCCTTAAAGGGAACTACAGCTCGCAAAATCCCCAAATACAATAAAAGAGAAAGAAAACCTAAAAAGCACAAGATCCCAACTAAGATACACAAAGAAACCAATAAATAAAAGCATGATTAATAAGAAGCCAAACCCAAAAGGAGCCCAAGCATAGACATTTAACGAGAGGAATTAGGATTTAGGACCTCCAACAGGAACCTGCAAAATAGAAACAATAGAGGCAAAAAAAAAAAAAAAAAAGCAATACCTAGAGCTTGGAAATACATAGACTACAACATTCTTCAACAATGATTGACCGAAAATAAATTGGGAATCAACAAATCCACCAAAAAAAGCCCAAACATGAGTAGAAATTAAGACAAAAAGGAGCCACCCAGAAGATCCAATGACATCTCCACCACAAGATGGAATAACAAACACAAAGTTCTGAGAGAAAGAAGACAAAGACACCAGAAGCAGAAAGTCAAGAACCTCACGAACCATCAGCCTGAAGACAACCAAAATTAGCCAGCAATAGATAGATATAAGGAATCTAGCTAGTAGGGTGCAAGAAGGCCAAAAATCTGAAGCAACACCGACCAAGGATAAAATTTAATAAAGGAGCTAACACCCAAACCAAAACGAGGAATAAAATGACACAAAAGCGCTCAAAAGGTGTAGAATCAAAAAGTCTAATCTTTAAGAAAGACCAAAAGCTATCAAACCAGCCCCAAAAAGAGAAACTAGAGGAATCCATATAATTAAAATCAGGAACAATCACCCATAGGACACACAGAGCAAAATGCACCCCAAACTTGCCCCAGGGAAACTGTAGAAAGCAAATGGAGACTGAGCTAGAAACGTGCCAAAAAAAAAAAAAAAACCAGCCACCACCACCAAATTCCCCATAAAAACTAACCAACCAAAAGACACCAAACATTGAATAAAGTTTTATAGGATTGGTAGAAACAAGGCGACTCTCCCAAACCATGGAGAAGAAAATACAATAATCATAGCACAGGAAGCCCTACACAAAACATAAAAGAGAGGGCTAGCAGCATAACATATACCAAGATTTAAATTAGAACTGAACAAAGATCCAATAGGCATAATGAAACTGCATAAAAGATATAATACTCCTGAACAACAAAACTAGATATCCAAAAGATCATGAAGCAAAAAACCAAAAGGACCAAAATAGCTCACAAACATATATAAACACCCATCAGCATACATTATGCATGAATACAAAACAATGATGAAAATAAATCTCCACCAAATGAAAGAAACCAAGATCACCACAACTCTAAAAGAAACAGGGAACATGAAGGGCTGACATGCAATCATGACTCAACCATCAATCAGAACAAAACAATAGGACCAATCACATAATTACAATATAATATAAGGAAAACCCAATTTATCAAGCCTGATCATGCCTTTCAGAAGACCAAGAATGGAGTCATTATTAAAGTATATCTTGTTATGGATCTTAGCCAATCAATCAACACAAATACTACCCTCTCTCCAAATGTGAGAGATTTTGAAGTTAGTCTTATTAAGAGAAAGGAAATGTTTTGAACCAAATATAACAACTTAGCGTTAAAGTAGTTTCGAGAGTTGACTATAGAGACCAACAATTTAGAATCTAATTCAATCCAAATATTCAAAAAGTTATTCTCAATGCAAACCAAAAACACTTTATAAGAACAATTAATTCAGCATATAAAACATTACCATCATGAATTCTAGAGGCAAAGCCAAATAAACATCACTTAGGTGGTTCCTAAAGATACTTCCACAATTGACACCTCCAATAGTAATAGAGTCGTCAATATTAAACTTAACTTCTTGAGCATGAGGTTTGGACCACTTTAACATTTTAGGTAAATTGAAATCATTAAAGATATGACTATTAATGGTTTTAAAAAAAATTCATTTGGCATTACCACTAAAGTGCTTAATAGTAAGAACTTGGCAGTTAAAAGCTACTAGATTTTTTTTATGCCAATGATGACCCTCATAAAGTTCATTTCAATGTTATTATGCTTGCATTTATTCCTTTTAAATAATAAAAGCTAAATAATTACCTGAGGCACAATAGTAAGAATATGACCCTTGGGTTTCCCATGAAACCAAACAACTAAAAATGTATAAACATTGTTGTAATTAGAAGGCAAATGAATCCCTAAGCCCTTTTTCAATTCATACAACACCAAGGAAGGAACATGCCTTCCATAAAGAATTGATTAATAGTTTCAATTTGATTTCAACATTGACATTTGGAGACCAAGCAAATGCCCTTATCTAGAAGTCTATTATCCAAAAAAATGAAACCCTTTAAAATTCTCTAGGATAAAGTAGAAATAGATTAGGGAGTGCAAGAATTATAAATTTTATCAAAAATACGATTACTATCTTTCTTACTCCTAAAAACATGCCAAATCTTATAGAAGCAAAAGTCACCATTATCAGAAACCTTACCTAAAGGAATATTATTAAGAGAAGACAAAGTGTATTAGGAATTTTACAAATAATATCAACAATGTCTTAAGGGAGAAGGCTAGATAAAAGCTCTACACACCAATAACCATCCTTGATAAATCAAAAGATCATCACTAAAGAGGTAGAATGTGTGCTACAGTAAGGATCCAAATATTTAAACCATAACCAATCATCCTTCTAGAAATAAGAAGAGCCATTACATAATCCCCATAGAAGAATGGACTCACCTTGCCATTTAATCTTATATAATCTATTCCAACTAGGAGATTGATCATTTTTAAAGTGGCAAAGAGTAGGATGAATGTTGTTACAATATTTTTAGTTCATATATAAAGTTGGCCCAAAGAGATGTATTAGATCTAAATTTCCACCAGAGTTTATAGGAAAAATCGTTAACCATATCAATAATTGATCACAACCTAAATCACCCTCCTTAATTAGGACCACAGTAAGCAAGTCAGGAAGATAAATGGATTTTTTAGAGTAGTTAGGAACCCTAGAAGGATTAGTTAAATACTTTTTCAAGTCTATTACAAACATCAACATTGGGGTTAATTATTTATAAAAGATATATAAGCATTGAGCATAAAACACTCTTGATTAGCATAATTCTATCCCCCATAGAAATAAATTTATATTCTCAGGCAATGAGTCTTGAATTGATACTGTAAAATATTTTATCAAATTGAAAAGACTTTTTATGACCTTTATGGATTGGAGTGCTTAGGTAGTAAATGGAAAAAAATTTCCTTATAAACCTATTGATCCTACTAATTTTATTGCTTTGGTCCAACTTCATACCTTTACCAACAATATAGGTGCATTTGGATTTATTAAAATTATGGCCACAATCTTTTTCAAATCTATGAAGCAATTTTTATGTTTTTAATACTATTAATAACACTATTATAACATTTAGAAATGACATCAACAAAACATGAGTGGGAAATGTTTAAACAACTAGAATTAGTGTAAGAGACACTTTTATAATAAGAATAGAAATACAACATACATCTTGATAAATATTCAGTAGCACTAATGAATATAGTAGGGAACAATAGGTCCCACTGGCTAACCC